ATTCCTTCTTCGGTGATCGTTGAATAAGATCGTCGTTGTCATTTGCAGAATAATATCTATTTCTCGGTCCGTATATTTTTGGAAGCTCATTATTGTTCTCCTCGGCTCTCGCTTTTCGTCTTCTAGCATCTTCTTCCAATACACGACGACTTCTTGCTTCGTTCTCTCGTCTACGTGTTTCCTTGTACCTTTGTATCCTTTGTTCTTTGGTCTCTGGTTCTGACAAGGAGATCGTCGAATCGACGGAGTCCACACTCGATCGACAAATTCCACCGCCCCATGGAAGACTGTCATCACTACCTTCGCTACTCTCGCTACAACCCCATGTTCTCGTTACAGTTTGATCCTTCGTTGTTATTATTGCCGGTATACTACGAAATTCACCTAAATTATCCTCGTCGCTTGAATTACTGCTAGACCAACCGCGTAACTCGCTTCTCGCTCTTCTTCTAGATTCTTCGAGTATACTCGTAGAATTTTTCGAATTACTTTCTATCGGAGATTCGATCGGCCAACAACGAAGTTCGCTTCGTGAACGTCTCCTCGATTCAGTGAGACTCTCCGGAAATGGTGCTGGACTTCTTGGACAAATCGTCAGGATTTCGAGGAAGTTCAGGCATCTTCGAGCACGAAACGGAGTCTGTCTAACCAACTCTGCTGCTATCGCTTTCACCCAAGACCAGTATATCGGTTCTGTGTCGGCCTGGAAAAACAAAAACATAAAAAAACAAGATAAATTAATATTATTACTAATGTATTCAAAGATTGAGACTGCGATCTCTTGTCTTTCAAGAAATTATATTATAAATATTTACATATCTAAATTTCATTCTTTTCAAATAAGTAGATATACCTGCTTTTAATCTCTTTATATCTCTTCTTTTAACTTTTAATTAGAAAAATGATTAAACGAATGATCAACGATAATAAATTATCGGCGAAAGGAAGAGATATTGGACGAGAGTTAGATAGATAAGAAATATATATATATATTCGTGAAAAACGACGGATGAATCATGACACACGATTTCGCCGTTCGACGATTCGAAAGTCGTCGCGGTTCGTTCTAACATAAAGACGACATATTCTAGAATTTACATGGGAATTTAACTTCTACGATTTTCTAGACGAAAGATATATATACCTCGGTGAAATTAATTTTGCATCCTCATACATTTTCTGTCATAAATAGAGAGAAAGAGAGAGAAAGAGAGAGAAAGAGAGAGAAAGAGAGAGAGAAAGAGAGAGAGAGAGAAATAGAAAGATAGAGAGAGAGAGAGAGAGAGACAGAGATAGAGAGATAGAGGAAAAAATACAGTAGAGAACGGATGTGACATTTCGACCTTGCGAATGACCTTTAATTATTAAACCATTCGTTCTTTGCTTTACCTACCGGAAATGATACGTCAAGAAAAGAATGGTACTCGAATAAAACGACGATCGTATCTTCTAGAAGAAAATCCGCCATCTTGTTTTTTGCCTTCAGCTACAGGCTATTAACAGGACAAAGTTCTTTCTCTCTCTCTCTTTCTCTCTCTCTCTTTCTCTCTCTCTCTCTCTCTCTCTCTTTCTTTTTTCCTTTTTTATTTTATCTCTTTCAGGCAATCACGTAAAAGAAAAAATATCTTATATATTGCAAAGGATCAAGGATCTCGTTGAGCTGCCAGTCATCCTCGACTACGAGATCGTCTACGTCCTTGGATCGACTAAAGGAAAACGAGCGAAGTAAGGATCTCCTTAGGCGGTGAACGAAGATGGTGGGACTCCTTGACAATGGTGGGTCATGGGAGAGTGGCGAGCTATACTCCCACGCGTCCGTTTACCACTATCCAGATCAGCTATACAACCGATTTCGACCTTGCCTACTGACCTTATTTAAATATTTCTACAGTATCGCATATATTTCAAATTACATTACGTGCGATTCTCAATAATTCTCGAAACCTACATATTGTTTATTAAATTCATTAAAAGAAAAGATTAACAATTTTTTTTTAATCTTCTCTCTGTCAATTATCGACTTGATTGTAATGTTAAAAAAGAATTTTTTTTATATGTAAGAGGCTGTAAAAAACTCTCTTTCTTTATCTACAAAGTCTTTAAAGAGAAAAAGAAAGATATATATATATATATATATATATATATATATATATATATATATCTTTCAGACAGACAGCAGACAGAGAGACAGAAAGAGAGAAAGAGAAAGAGAGAGAGAGAGAGAGAGAGAGAGAGAAATTTGGTCGATCGATCGAAAGTTCGAAATCTGCGAAACAAGATAGAGATGTCTGCTATGCAAAACATGAGAAGAAGAGAAAGTCAAGTTGGACAAATCAGAAATTTGGAAGCTGTGTTAAACTTTGTAGATAGAACTAAACGTTTTGTAGATAGAACAACAAGGCTTTTCACAAGGTAAGTTGTATAATGAGTTAGAAATCGAATGGGCGACGTTGCCAGCCCATAATTAGAAGTTGCAGCGTTCAGTGAAACGGGAACCTAG